CCGGCCCCGCTCCACCTTCCCCCAGCCCCAGCCCCGGTCCCTGCACTGGCTCCCGCCCCGCTCCGCCCCAGCCCTGGCCGCGATCCCCGCCGCCGTCCCCCGGCTCTGCATCTGAGACAGGCAAGAGAGGACGATCGGGGTCCTGGAGGCCCGAGGGGCGCAGAGGAAGAAGGAGGAGCTGGAGGAAGCGAAGGGAAGGGGAGGGGAGCGCAGGGGAGAGGATTTTCCCATCTCCTGTCTTTTTTTTTTTTTTTTTTTTTTTTTTTGGAGGGAGAAGGTTGCTGCTGCTAGTGGCAGCGTTTCCTCCTGCAGGAAGATGATAAATACATGAGGAGCGAGGCTCTGAGCCTGCTTCTGTTCTGCGGGAGTGTCTCTCTCTCCCTCCCTCCCCTCTCCCTGCTTCTGTGTGAGTGTGTTTGGCTGCCCGGCTGTGTGTGCGTGTACACTGTGTATATATATCTGAGCTGGGAGGTTATTGCAAGCTTCTCTCAGCAGCGCTCCTCTGTACAGGAAGAAGGGCTCAGCTGCAGTGGTAGCATCAACAGCAGCATTAGCAGCACCAACTGCTTTATTCGCCTTTCTTCCTTCCCTTCATCTCCATCTCCCTTTTCCCTCCCTCCTCCCACGTCTTTTGGGGGATTGATTTTCTTTTTTTTTTTTTTTTTTATTATTTATTTTTCTACTCTACGATCCTTGTTATTTGATACTTCGTGGCTTTTTTTTTTTTTTTCTTTCTTTCTTTTTTTTCTTTCCCCCTTCCTCTGAGAAGGTTCCCCAGCAACAAACACGCACAAACACAGAAAAATAAGGAAAAGTACCGGGACTTATCCTGCTGCTGCAAACCCAAAGATAGCAGACGAAGAGGGGGTTTGGCTTCTACCCCAAGGTAAAGCCCTGCCCCCTTTACCTCCTCGACACCTCCTCCGAGAAAGAGAAGGAGAGAGAGCGAAGGGGGCCAAAGTGGAGACAAGCAGGTCTTCTGCGGCTGGCATTTGGAGTACAGGGAGCCAGGAAGTGAAGGATGGTTGTGGTTACCCGAGCTGGCTGCAGGGCAGCTCTCTTCCTCTGGATTTTCATCAGCATTAGCTGCAGAGCCAGGACCGCTCTGCCTGCATCTCGTAAGTACCCTTTTCTAAGAAACATGCACAATTTCAGCTCTGAATTAAGCCAGAGGAAAATTCTCACAACTCTGTGAGGTTGATTATTTTTCCTTTGCTGATGAATATTGTGTTTGATTTTTCTTTGTATGCGTATGTGTGCACTGAGGTCTGATACTGTTTGCAGTGCTCCCCATCAGATCTTCCTTGGTGATTTCAGTGGTAGCTGGTGTGGAAAGTTGAAAGAGACCTGCTCTGTGATATAATCTTGGCTCTGCAATGGAGTCAGAGGGGGAAAGGAATCAGAAGCTGTTCAAAGTTTGGGGATAGTTTTTGTTTGGCTGGTCGGGTTGGTTTGGTTTGGTTTGGTTTTCCCATCTTCCTCGGAAGGGATGCAATTTGCATTTGGAAGTACTTCACTTCCACAGTTTTGTGAGGGAAAAGAGGGGATGTGAACAGTTTCCATAACTAGTGTTTTATCCAGGGGCAGCAAGAGAAAATTCTGTCTCATTTGAAGAGGAAAGAGTGATTGTGAGTTGATGAGAGGGAACTGAGCCAGGACAGCTTTTCTTTAGAGCAAAGTTTTGCTGCCCATAATAGAATGAGCAAAGGTATTTTAGAGGAGACCATCAATTGCCCTCCTAGCGAGGCAGAAATAGTAGAAAAATGATCAAACATCTGCTGAAATGCTGAACTTCGGACTACAGGAGTGTAGAGCACAAAATCCGATTCTGCTATCAGTATAAAAATGACAGCATATGCATTGATTTCAGTGGATATTAGATCAAATATTTAACATTACACTGAGCTGTAGTTTTGAGCAAAACATTTTGCAAGTAGATGTCAGTACTAAGTATTTAGTTGTTTCTCTTCAGACTATGTAAAACATTTGCCAATTGCCAAGTGTTTTTGAAATACATGCTGAAATGAAACAGTGCATTTTTATAGTATCATCATCATACTGCTGGCTTGATCGGCTGTTTATAGAGGAAGGAAGTGTCCTGAAATGTTATGGATAGATGTGCTGGGATTGCATGCATGTGAATGGGGGTAGATGCTACTGACCAAGAAGGGAATTGCATAGAATGTAATGTATATACTGCATAGACATCTATGTAGATCACTCTATTTATTTAGTTGTTTAATTGTTTCCTTGGGGGCTGGAATGAACAATGCAATGATTAGGGAATTGGAGCACTGCTATGCTTTCTTAGTGGGTTTCTATCTGTTATCATCTAATACCTATTGAAAAACGAGTGTTATTCCAGGATTTACTTGCACTTGCATATTTGTTTGTGTGTCAACAAATATACATAGCAGTGTCTGCATTGTTATCTAGGTCTCAGAGGCTGCAGAATGTTCAGTTGTTTTTCTGCCTTTGAATTAGGAGAAGTATTGATCCTGACATTTACTTCTTAGTTTTGACCAGCTATATAATTTTTCTTAGAAATATTATTTCTTCATGATCATCTCTCGAGCTCTGCATAATAGGAATGTGTGGGGGACAGGATCCTTGATTTAGGTTGTCAGAAATCTGTTCTTCAAAAACAAAGTCCCTGCTTTTCTCTAAGTGGGTTTTGCAGCTTTTTTGTGTGTTTTTGTCAATCAGCAACTAATGGCTGTAGTATAATTAGAAAATTACCTACAGTGGGTTATTGATTTCCCAACAAACAAATTTTTAACTTTTGAAATAAGTTTGTTGAGAAGTTAATGGTTGTAGCAACATCACTATACCCAGAAATTCCAGGAATGGAGGATATATATAATCTTAATTACAGTTTAGTCATATACATTCCCATCTTGATGATTAGCTATTCAAAAATTTCTTTATATTAATTCACCTACCAAGAGCTTGTACATTATACTCCTTATGTAGTGAGAGGCATTTAATTTAATTTCTGACTCACTTCTTAAAGTGAAATGGAGCTGGATTTGTTTACTGGAAACATAAATGCAGCTAGAAGTACACATCAGCCTTAAATTTACAAAAGGATTGTTCACTTTGCAGCACATGTTGAAAATTCTTGTAAAGGCTTAAGGAAAATTCTTGCCACAGTACGAACTCTAGTGCTGTGTCACACTGTTTTGGTGCACCACTTTGCTGGTTATTCTGTTGCATGCTTTGCTATACAAACAGTCACTGTACTGTATTTTGTCACTGTGCTCTATTTTCTGGGGTTGTTTGTAACTTTGTCTGCAACTGATTGGGATTGGAGAATTTTGTGAATGGGATTGGAGAATTTTGTTCTCTGTTGACAAGATGATATATCTAGTTTTCATTGGCCTTTTTTTCTTCTTTTTTCTTTTTTTTCCCCCTCTGTCAATTTTGAACCTTATATTCAGAATACTTCTGAAATGATTAAAAACCATGTGAAATGCAACTTTGATGTAAAACTTATTTCCAACCACTATTTCATTTTCTTCTCCATTGTTACTTTATGTTTTGGCTTTGAAGTAAATAACAACATCAAATTTATTCTTTACAGTATTTTTTAGGAAGTGTGCAAGACTTATGGTGTACAGTGCATTACAAATCCCTATATATGAGCTTGCTGTTCAGTATTTTCTCACCATCTGCTTGTACTGGCATAGAAAAAGATACAGTTTTCAGAAAGAATAGAACTGGACATTGCTTATGTGAATATGCTGCATCTCAAGTGTTTGCAAAGTAAATCTAACTCTAGTTAAATTGGAATCTCTCAGTAGTACTGATTCAGAAGTGATCATGTTGAAAGCTTTTAATCTCATTTAGTTTTATCTCGTGATGAAGTGGGTGTTGAAAGCCCATCCTCTGGTATAATAAACATACACTGTGATACATTATCACACACATTAATGCTCAGATCTTACTGTCAATTCTATTTGTGGTCATTTTTTCATACCCTGGCAATAAATTCTTCATATTGCTGCAATTTTTTTTTTTTTAAAATAAGCATGGAAGGATGAAAACACCCTTCTGGAAACAAGGCTAATGAACAGCTCAACCAGGAGAGGTCATCACAAGATAAAAAGTAACACAGAAAATACAAATTTAGTGCTTTATAGTCCTTTACATAGCTAAGACGGAATGATAAGAATATGAATATGGGTAGACTAACTCTCACTTGTATTCCAATAAAAATCCCAAACACAAAAAGAAGCAACTTTGTTACTTAATAAAATGTTAAAGGTATTAATTATAGGATTGTCTCCTTCTCTCTGAAAGGAATTCATTTTACAAGCAATTGTCTTTCACAGCTAGGGTTTTTTGGGTTTTTTCATTGTATCTGTTTTTATGCAATGCAAACCTGATGAGCACAGAAATTCTAACACTTCTAGATTTGATACTTGTCATACTTTTGTAGTATGTCCCATACCACTGCTCAAGTTGAAGTTTGAGCCCATTTTACAAGACTTGGTGCAGAAATCAAAAGCGGGGCATGTATAGTAAATCATTAACATACATAAAAGAAAAAATATACAGCTTTTACCTTGACTTCATGGCACCCATATTTTCCTGGGAAAAGTATTGAAAAGGAGTAATGTACCTTTTGAAAGAGCAAGGCATTGTACAAGAAAGTCCTTTTTAAGAGGCCAAGTTGAATGGAGCTCTGAGCAATCTGGTCCAGTGAAAGTTGTACGCCCATGTTTGGCATATGAGGTGTCATATATCCTATCAGATTCACACTTGGGGAATACTTCTCTTCCAGATAATGTCTCAGACATAATGATTTTTTTGGAAATCTGATCAATTCAATTTTTTTTCCTATATAATAACTGATTAACATTTATTTGTTTAGGTCCTGTTGTCTTGAGGTTAACACAGGGGTCTCACAGAATTTAGTTTCAAGTATACCAAACCATTTTCATGTGCATTTAGCATTGAATCATTTCTCTTACCTTTGGCGTCAAAGCACTTAAAAAATATGCTAAACTTTTAATTTGAGGGCCTACCTCTCTTTTAAGTTCATGGAATTTCATAACATTAAACATATGATTTCTCTTTTGTTCTTTTAGAACATTTTAGCTAGAACAAAATTTACGTCCATCATAGTATAGTTGTATTATGATTTAGGTGCTATTCATCACCATATAATAAAATTCACATTCAACAGACAAGTGACAGTTTTAAAAACATTGCACTGAGTTACTGAGTTACTATTATTATTTAACAACATTGCATTGAGTTACTCATCATGACTCTTTAAATAAATTGGCTTTTTCTTGAGCATTATGTTAACTTATATGTGAATGAATGAAACAGTATCAAATAGTCTGCTCTATTTTCAAAATTGGTGGCAGCAGCTACAGTCTGTGTCAGTGCTGAAAATCCAAAGTTTCAAAGAGTCTTTAACTTTTGTGTAAGCAACATTGCACAAAACCTAATTGCAGACAGTCATCTAGATAGAGCAAGTCTGATTCAAAGTTTGGTGTCAGTGGGCATTGAATCAATTGTAAATGTCATTGAACTACTGTTTTAAAAACTGGCTTTTGCTTGGGCTGTTTTTGCTTTGCTTGTGTATTTAGTTTATTTTTTTTTTAATTCTGGTGCAATAATATGAAATAAGGCATAAAAAGTTCTTTAATAAGTAGTCCAGTCTGAAAGAAAGTTTGAAGGTGAAGTTAAAGACTTCGAATTGAAAACTTATTTCTGAACATTGGTTGTTTCTTTTGATGAGAAATATGTTTCTATTTTCTCTTTTTTTTTTTTTTTTTTACTCAGTTTACTCAGGTACTTTTAACACAGGAGACTATTTCAGTTGCTTCAGTTGTGATAGGAAATTATGTATATATAATGCATTAGACATCATACTGTACCTCATCATACTGTAACTCTTGAATAACTCACGTTCCAATGGATCTGTTACAGACAGTAGATTTTCCTATAGAAGTTCTTCAGGGCTTTTAACTTGGATCTCTCAGTCTATAAAATTGTCAGATATCGTGTTTACTGTTTAGGAGTTTTTAAGACTGTAGTAGTTTTAATGTTTGGGACAATAAGATGTTATGCACAAACAATGGGGGAGTTTCTGCATTTTCTT